CTTAATATCCTCCAAGCGGCCAGACCACACAACCAATCTGTGGGCAAATGTTGCCGTCTATGCTCCATCACTTCTGGTCGTTCTACACCTGACTGCGTGCTTGCTGCATGATTTTGGTACCAGCGCGAGTGCTGCACATTGACGATAGCGCGGTGGGGTAAGGAGACGGCTCGAGGTATCACTAACCCTATCCCTGTTCCCGTGACCTGTAGAGCGGACAAAAAACATGCTGCAGAAAGACCCGCACCTGGAAGGACTGCCTCAGAATGAATGTACAAGTTTGTGTTCTATGAGGTTGTCAGGAGCGTTGGGACGGGAAAGCGAAGGCTGCTTCTAGCTAGCACTTTACCCCGCCCGTGGCGGCGAGAGCTTTGCTATTGTCAGAAAAGATGAGGAGTTGCTCATAGGAGAAAGCTGTGCGTCCAATAGGGTTTCAGAGTCGTTATCAGCGGCAAGGATGGAAGATGAAAGGGTAGGAAGCGGCGGGCGGGGCTGATGGCTATTGCCTGAAACGACCAAATTCTTCGTCCATCGCCAGGTCTGTACCCCTGCCGCTCAAGTCAGCCTCTGAAAGATTTTTCAACTTTCAGTACCATTCCGCCTATTTGCGACGCGTCATGTATGAGGAGATGAAAATGGAAGACAGCATCGCCGCGTGGGTACATATATACATTTCGGGCATGACATGCAAGACTCCATTTCCAGAGCTGCAGCTGAAACTGTACGAGTGTAGCAGTGTAAGTGTAGGAAAAGCATAAAGTCACTTGGTGCAATTGACGCTCATTTCTACTACAGTAAACCAGTAAGGCAAAAGCTAGTTTGTAGGAAGAGCCCTTGCTTCTGCTCGCTTCCACGAATGCTAATTCATACTATTCCAGTTTTGCAAGACGCCAGCAGAACCCTTGTCTAGGGTGGTAGTGACACCACCCACTAGTATTACAACCAGCAAAATGCAACACCATCACAACAACAGAACAGTTGAGAACCTGATCAATCGATATTTTAGTTCAATATCAGCTGACGAGAAGTCGGTACTGATTAATGAGAGAGGCGGCTGTGGTCGCATTGAAAGGTCCCGATACTTTCGGCTCAGTTCCAATTCAGAGTGGCGATCATTTCATACTGTCGTGCGTTACTCTTTCGTTTAACTCAGATTAGCTCAGGATTTTTGTGCGAACTAGATTGATCATAGGACTGAACATAAATCATTGCCTTATTTTGCGGCAGAGCATCTTTCCTAAAAAATCGCGGTTTCATACTTCCCATATAAGCAGCCCCTGGCCGCGGTTACCAATTATGTTTTGCTGCATCCTTTGTAGAGAAAAAAGAATAATGAATTGTCCAGGCTTTTACTCTATATCGACACCCAAAATCGCGATACAACTTCTTTTTTACAGAAATTACGTTCCCACAGCTCATGGAGTACCTTGAGACATCGGCATCTAATAAGAAGAACGACTTTCTTTCAAAAATGCCATCGTAAGCCTATGTAGAGTGCTTATTTGACAGAACAATTTGATTCTGAAGTAAAACAATTTTTTGAGAAAATTCTCGGTTTCATACTTTCCATATTAGCAGCCCCTGGCCGCGGTTACCAATATTGCTTTACTGCACTTCCTTTTGTAGAGAAAAAAAAGAATAATGAATAGTCCAAGCCTATACTCCATATCGACACCGAATATCGCTATACAACTTCTTTTTTTTTATCCCAGAGCTCATGGAGTACCCTGAGACATCGGCATCTAATGAGAAGAACGACTTTCTTTCAAAAATGCCATCGTAAGCCTATGTAGAGTGCTTATTTGACAGAACAATTTGATTCTGAAGTAAAACATTTTTTTGAGAAAATTCTCGGTTTCATACTTTCCATATTAGCAGCCCCTGGCCGCGGTTACCAATATTGCTTTACTGCACTTCTTTTGTAGAGAAAAAAAAGAATAATGAGCAGTCCAAGCCTATACTCCATATCGACACCGAATATCGCTATACAACTTCTTTTTTTTACAGAAATTACGTTCCCAGAGCTCATGGAGTACCCTGAGACATCGGCATCTAATGAGAAGAACGATTTTTCTTCAAAAATGCCATCGTAAGCCTATGTAGAGTGCTTATTTGACAGAACAATTTGATTCTGAAGTGAAACATTTTTTGAAAAAATTTTCGGTCACCATATAGCAGGCCATGGCCGCGCGTTACCACTCCTGCTACTACTACTGTTTTGTAAAGGAAAAACAATGATGAACAGTCTTTTATGAAATTGCACCCATTCGTTTCGTGGGCCAACCTTCTTCCCGAATTTCATTTCTCCCCGTTTCTACGGGGGTTCTCTAGGTAAACAAATTCGCCGCCTATCTTGCCAGAACCGTCAACATTGTCACGAAATCGCCGACCGTTGACCAGTCATGGTCACGAGCCAACTGGGTGTTCGCCCACCCAGATGGCCAAACACACTCAAACCCACCTCAATTACCACAATTCATTCAAGTGATCTGCCAAATGAGTATTTCATTTCAGTTTTTCATTGAATTACAAATTTTCATGAATGGTTTGACCGATGGAGAGCTGTGTTGTGAGGTAGCCCGACCCAATTGAACTCTTGGGCTACACATCAGCTCGCGTGCCGTTGCGTCGCGGTTTGTGCTGATGTCGTGTTGGTTGTTGAATCGCTATCTTCACAACAATGGCTCCTCTATGCGACATCATGCCATTCAGAAGGAATTCAGATCTTCAGTTCTTTGGAGTTATTACTAGTTGCCTTGCATGACCACTGAAATCCCCCTGCTTAATGGTATAAAATCTCGCACCGGTGGCAGTGACGTCATCATTCGTTTGTGTTCTATAAATATTTCGCATTTTGGTTTTTAATTGTGGCCGAGACCTTCGTATCCAGTTTTCGCGTCCATTTCCATCATTTAAACTTTTCCATCGGAAAATCAACGCGGTTGCATGTCCATCATTGCAATTCGCGTTTGCATCGCACTTTAAATAGATCTTTCCTTATTTAGCCATCGCTGTTGCATCGTGAATGATATCACTTTACTTATATTACCTTCGTTCTAACTAGTTAATCGTATTGTTTTCAGGTGATGAATCAATTCCGCACAGGCGGCGGGCCGCAGCGGGAAATGTTTGCTGCGGCCGAAGATATTGCCGATGATGTAAGTGAGCTGTTTTGTTAAGTATTGTTATTGATTTAAATTCCTTTGGAATGTGATGTTTACTACGAGAAACGCAATGTCATAACAAAGGTAGCGTAGTAGCTGAGAGGAACCAATACACACGCATTTTTTTACGAGCGCATCCCTTCCAAGCGAATATCTCATCTATTCTCACATGTTGGTTACCAATTTTTTTGGGACAAAAGTACTGAATTTTATTTCTAATGGTCTCTACAATTCGCTCTATAAGTCACTTACGCATAAGTTGAACTTTTGGACCCCGAACATGAGTAAAATGCGAGAAGGGGTTGTATAAAGGGACGCGGGTATAATGTTCCCTTCTGCCTGAATTCTACCTCCAGTATGGTCCCATGCGGCTTTAGGACCCGTAAAACCCTTCAATGACGGATTACTTTTGTTGCTTGTTTGTTCACACGCCGGCGCCTTGTGTGGCTAACATTTGTTTAACTCCCACGGTAATCTGTTTATTTTGCAAATATCAGAACTTTTGAGTACCACTCCATTTCTTAGTGCTTTTCAGTACTCTAATCGGAAATCTGTTCCGATAACAGTTTTGGAAAGTATGGGATTATTACTGTTAATTGGAGCATGAAAAAACGATTCGCTGTAACTAATGTAACGCGGGACTAATGTTTCAGTCTTTTGTCGAAGTTTAAGTTCCTCAAAAGAGTTCCTCGATGAGTTATTGAGAAAACTGCGATTTTTTTTTCGAAGTTTAAGTTCTTCGAGAGATCTGCTAATTTTTCTTCGAAGTTTAATTTCTTTAAAAGAGTTTTTCGAACAGTTTTTTGAGAAGCTTGCGAATTCTTGAACTTCATACGATCATAGCAAGTTATTGGGAGGTCTTGAAGAAAAGTTGCATTCAATATTTCTGGTCTATTTTTTATTCTTCCTCTACTGCTATATGTTGAGTAATTATTCACTACTATACTGCAGTTATTCTTCTTTTATCACATTATTCTATTATTATGCTGCTTTCTTTCATACACTTTTGTTCAAGTTCTACATTGTTCCTACGATGGCCTAGCCTAAGCTCATTTGCGACGCCTCAGTCTGCGCCCTCGCCCACCTGTTAGGAAGCTTGATCTCTCTTTATTCATCCAACCTTTATTGCACCCTGCCCTTCATATGCCTAGCCCTGATAACACTCTAACCCTGGCAGCGGAGTTTGAGTAGGTCAACTTTTTTTACCCAACAAAAAAAAAAACGCTTGACGGTTTCACAAGCACATTTACTACGAGAGCTAAATCAAGTGGTAGCATGAAGTAGACCTCTGAAATGAGATACGTGCCCCATCTAACCTTATTCCCCTCTTCAGCTTAGTGATCTTACTTTTTCATTGCTTGTTTTGTAATGCAGTTTTGTATTTTGGCTTCCAGCTTTTAATGCAATGTTCTCTATTGCTTATTGAATGCTTACTGTAGTCAAAACATTGTGTAATCTCATATAAACTGCTTTTTGCTTCAAAGTTCAGTTTCTTGAATGTTTTTTCCCTTTTTTCACGAAGTTAGATTTTGATGAGGATTGTCAACTTCCTTACTGGGAATGGCTGGCGATATCACATGTTATCTCATGTAACCAACCTAGCAGGTTACAGGGCACCTGTCAACCGGGATTTTCTTTTGCTGCTAGGGTCCAGAAGCATTTTCTAGTGGCATCTTTTGCTGGTCAGGCATTTGAAGAAAGGGAAATAAGTAAAAGGGAAGAGAGAAGGAAGGAAGGAATGAGGAAGAAGGCTTCGCAGTTGACAGATGTCCTGAGACCACCCACAATACTCATATATCGGTCTCAGTGTACAAGGTTTTTTTGTTTCATTTTTCCATGCTTATTTCCATCGAGGTGAGTTATGTGAAGTGTAATGTGAAGCGTTGATTGTGACAGTTTAGGCAAGAGAATCTTAGTGTTCTCAACTAATTAGCTCACTTTTGGTCTAGATAATGTAACGCGCGTAATGACGTCTTCTCATGGTTATCGATTGTAGGTGTTGCGCCGTACCAGGCATATACTTCCGCATGTGGCACGACTTTGCCTTGTGTCGACTTTCCTCGAAGATGGTATCAGAATGTGGTTTCAGTGGGACGATCAAAGGCAGTTTATGCAGGTTTCATTTGTTTATTAACTGTTTATAAGGGCTTATACTGGTTGAGCTTGAATTCCAATATGCCAATGGTATAAAAGTGACTCCGGATTATGAGTACGTCATTCTTCACGTATCGCAGGATATAAATTTGAATGAGGGTCGCGGCAGTCCGGCGACGGGGGGGGGCATTTTGCACGTTCTTACTCTGGTTGTCCCTAGGACGGAGTAGGCGTGGAATTTGAACAAGGAATGTTTGTGGTGGGATTTTTGAATCTGAGACAACTGTCATCTTGCTTTGTGTTGGGAGGCATGAGTACAGCTGTCCAGACAGTAAAAGCCAAAATATCTACGAAAAGCTCAGCCGCTGCCACTGGTCATTTCGAGCAGTTGTTTTTGTCCCCAACAGGGGGATAGTCGTATTTGACCTCAGGAAAATTTTCTTTTGATAGTTGATTATTCTTGTTTTACGCACGCTATAAGGGAGAGTCGTATTCGCTCGTTGCGAAGAATTTTTTCCGGTTATTGACTTTTCGTGGTTTTTCATGTTTCACATACCCCCCCCCCCTGCGCGACAGCTCGGTCGCGTATCAGAGGAGGGAACCAGGGGGAGGGGTCTTATCAGGCCACCTTTTTATGGGTGTCGCACAGAGTCGACCAAAATCCTCAACTAATGATGTGCCTGGATGGCAGTTTCTTAGGAAAAAGTGAAGGGTTTTCGAAAAAGTGATAGGAAATTAGGAAAATGCAGTAGGATGGTTGGTAGGGTAGGGGAGGTGCGTACCAGAAAGGAGATTCTGAGGTGAGGGGGGCGTATTTTGCAAGAATTTTCTCCAAGGTAGGGCGTGGAGACGGCACCAATCACTTAATAAATTCTACAACGTATCTGCTTATTCCACAGAAACAGCTGCAGTCCGAACATTCATTTCAATGAGCAGATACTTTCTAGAACATTCAAGTATGATGAAACTTGTTGTCTAAACTTGTTAGCGAGAGGCAACTGGTCCTTTTAGAAACATTAACACTCGTTCCATCCTCAACCGCAGGACAGTTTATGTCATAGCAGACTGGGGAAATTCAGGAAGGCGGTAGGTAAATCAGGGGATGAGGATAGTGGTGACCTTTCCAGAGAAGGAAGTTTCGAGGGGTGGTTGTTGAATTTTGCATTTCCCCCTCCCCCCTCCCCCTCC